GCTTTAGTTGAAACATTAGATTGCTTTTTGTTTAACACTTTAAGTACGTTTGTAGTTTGCTTTTGTTTCAATTTTTGTTTTTGTTTTTGCTGTTTTGTTTTTTGTTTTTTTTCTTAAGCTTTAGTTTTGTTTTTGTTTGTTTACTCTCTTGCTATTTGCTATACACAACGCTTATGCTTTTTAAATGCTTTCGAATACTTTTAGTTTCATTATCGCTTGAAGATTTTCAGGAAAACTTTTTTATTTTTTTTTATTTTTGCTTTTCATGAAAGCTTCAAACTTAATTGATTTGATTTGTAACTATTTATTGCACAAATGCATTTATGTATGTATACTGGAATTCCAACGTCTTCAATAGCTGCTTTTGAGTGAAACAGTTTTGGTTTATAAATTCCTTTTTACAACGCTCCTTTTTTTTGATTTATTTTGTTTGGCTAATTGTTTAAGAGTGTTTGCGTGTTTGTGTGCGAGTGTGTGTTTATGTATGTAGGTTGAAACGCATTGGTAGTAGTACAGAATTATTGACATAATGCTGATATTTACACACTATAGATACATATAGGATTTAAAATATTCATTATTGCAATTAGTTAAATTCATTTAAAAACTACAAATATACATATACATATTTAGGGGTCTATGTGTGTGTATGTATGTATGTATATTTTAGGTTTATTTACACATTAATTAAAGGTATGTAGGTAGGTATTTATTGGTAAACTTATTACATACTTAAATACACTGCACTGGCTCATACACAGCTCATACGCTCATACGGATGAATGTGTGTACGTACGTGTGTAAGTGTTTGTTTGCTGGCTTTGTCTAAGTATTCACTTTTAAACTGAATTATTATCATCCATTTATGTGTATGTTTAGGTATGTAATTTATTATTTATTCGACAATTAATCTGAGCATACATGTTCTTACATTTATTAGGACTAGTCTTTGGTAGCGTCAGTTGCAGTTGTATGTATGTATGTATGTATGCATTTCTTATTGTATGTATGTGTATGAGATAGTGATAGTTGTTTTTGTTGTAGTTGTGTTTGTGTTTATCAGCACTTAAAATTTCCAACAAAGTACTCGCACATTCTCACAAATTATTGTTAATGATTTCGGTGTTGTACTTGAAAATGCATTGGGATTTACATACATACACACATAAGTATGTATGAATGCATGTATGTATGTATGTATGTATGTTATAGCATAAGTGCCTGTGTATATAAACAAATAGAATTAGCTTAAGTTGATTTGTTGTTGTTGTTGTTGAACTCTTTTGAAAGGAATGTTTGTGTTTTTGTTAAATATAAGTAGTTTAAACTTTTAAATATTTAGTACCCACTCGCACTTCCGGTCCGGGGTGTCATGACGGCTTTTGTAATAATTATTTGAAGGCAGCAGCATGACAAGCTTAATAAATATGTATCACTGTGATGGAGTACTTACTTAACTACACATGTACATACATACATATGTTTGTTTGTATGTATGTACATACTTACTTACATATACAAAATAGTCGTAGATACATTATTTTTGCCATTACAATTATAAATTTATTTAAATAATAAATACATTTTAATTAAAAACACACATCTACGAGCACTAAATAGTTACAATGTTGCAAGTGATAATTGTTATAATTGGACAACGCTGCCAACAAAGCAGCGCACTACTAAGTCTTTAATAGCATTAATTTTTCCCTAAGGATAGCTAGTACATATTTGTTACAAAATTTTTGCAAACTAATACTAAGATGCTTAAATACTTACATATGTACGTACATACATTTATTTATTCTATGCATATTTTTCAATTTATTTACAATAAAAGTTACAGAGAAATTTTTAGCTGGAAAAAAAAAAATATTTACAATTATTTGAAGCATAAAAACGTGCTTTTGTGTAGCACATTCTCACATAAGTACTTAAGTAAGTACAGTTAGCGCAACTCTAAGAGCAGAAGTTCAGCGGGAGTAGAGGGAAGGAGAGAGAGAGAGAGAGCGAGCGAAAATAAGCTTTAAGTCGGCCTGCAATGAACTTTTCATTGAATAAATGGTATAACATTTTTAATAGTTTACTCTTGTCTGCGTATTCTTTGTGTTTTTTTTTCAGTTTGTTGCAGCAGCATTTTTGTTTAAATTTATTGAATACAAATTCTACGCTTGCAAAGCTGCATTTATTGTTGACTTTTAAATCGCAGTAGCTTCTTAAGGTTTTGATTTCTTTTTAATTCTCTAGTTTTTTATGCAGTCACCATAAAAAAAAATATAGGAAAAAAAATATTTTGAAGAGAAAAATGTTTGCCAACGTCCAACTTTGTATGCATGTGTGCATGTATTTGCAGATGAGTTTTGTTTACAATTTGCAAAAAACTTAAATTTATGCAATTACAATTATAAAAAACAAAACTTCTGATGGTTTAATTTTGACTTTTTAAATGTTTCGGCGAGAAATGTGTAGATCGAGGTTCAAAACTTATTTACTAGATTCAAAATTTTTTAATGAAGACTTGAAAGATTTTTCATAGTGATTTCTGCTCTTAGCCCTTAATGCGGTTTTATTACTTTGCAATAGAATTTAAAACCTAATATCTTGTTTTTATACATACCACCTGTTGCTTTACCAGCTAAAAGAAGTCGACCTAAAGAATTTGCGATTCGAAAGTGCAATCATATTGTCAGTGAAAGCTCAAAGAAACCGAAATAATAATTTTTTTTTCTGCAAAGTTATATAGCTATAGAGAACGAAAAAAGACACTGAAGATGGCACAACGCCGAAACCGGTTTGTCTCCAAACCAAATTTGACAAGGGATGACGGAAATTCGTTCCGAGCCATCATTCGAGAACGACGAAGCCGATGTTACACTTTGACGAGATACGATTAGCAGTTTCGTGGCTCCAGCAGAGCCGACGGCCGGCCAACTCAGCTATTCAAATTTGGTGGTGAGGAGCTGCACCAACTACCGCGGAATAAGCCTGCTCAATGTCGCGTGCAAGGCCTAAGTGAGCATATTTTGTGAAATACTGAAGCGCATATTCAAGGAATAGGTTGGACCTTATAAATTTGGCTTAACCTCGGTATATCCACCATAGACCGGACAGTCACCATATATCGAATCATGAAAAATACGCCATCTTTGTTGATCTTAAAACCGACTTCTTAGCACGAGAAAGAGTTGAGCAAAACTAAAACGGTTTTGCACCACATGCACCATTAGATTTGAAAATAGCTCGGTTTAAGGAGCAAAAAAGCTCTAGAGATGAAAATAAAATAGAAAATTTTTTTATGATTCCCGAATATGAAGCAAAACTGTATGCAGATCTTAGCTTATATAGCAGTAATTTTAGTTATTATTATTTTTTTTTAGTTTTTAATATTTTCTATAAAAATGCATTTTATATAACTGAGAAGTTTTGAGTATTGAGAGTGGTTTTTGTATTTTCGCGTTTTATTTACTTTTTTTTGGCTCCGATCGCAATTTTTAAATTGAAATTCTCTTCTACCGCACAACATTTCT